GGGCCCTGGCTGCGCCATGCCGGGCGACGTCACGGTCCTTGATTTTAATCTATTCATAAAGGGCTTTTGAACCGCTCTTGGTCTGACCCGTCACCCAGGACCTGTTTGCCTTGGGAGACCCTACCAGGGACATATAGCCCCTGACAACATAGCTCCTAGGATCACTCGGGTACTCAAACCCCTCCACCACAATAAGGTAGCGGTTCAAGGAGGGGGTAACAATATTAATACTTTTAAATATATATTTACTCCAAAAAAATAGAAACTTGTGAAAAAAAAAAGGCACAACAAAATTCATTTTTCTGTTGTCCATCCATATGCTCAGTATGCTCCAAACATTCCTAGTTCCATGGACACGGATGTGTTAATACACTGGGCTGTTTTGAAGGGAGTGGAAAATGCAAATTCCTCAGCGGTGTTGTACCCAAACATGCAGGTTGTGAACTTTGACACGAGCAGCTGTTAGAGAGAGCGCAGAAGCTGGTGACTTCAGGGAATTTTGAAAGGTTGACGGCAGACATGGGTCAGTCGAGTTGAAAGAGCATACAGAGTCAAGGTACTCATGACACAGCTGAGATAGTTTGGTTAGATTATTAAAGCCTTGACATGGAGTTGGCCAGAGTCCCCAGTGAGCTCAACCCTGTACACTCTGTCTCAGTTTCCACTAAACTTTTTCACTACATAGCATTTAGATAGAACGTCAGCAAAATGAGTAACTACATGACAGCTCAGCTTACACACAGCCCTGTCTTCCTTCTCCTGTGTCACGTGTGAAATAGAAGTCAGTGTTTCTATTTACTTGTTTTGTTTTCGCTGGTGTTGCTGTGCTGAAATGTTTTGGATGCTTGTCTTTCTGAGGCTCTGTGGGAGTTCAAGTCAAAGCTAAAAATCCTGGATGTCTGCATCATAAAGTCTATACAAACCAGCCTGGGTGGAGTTAACATCTGGGGGTTTTTTTCTTGTGTGTGTGTGTGTGTGTGTGTGTGTGTGTGTGTGTGTGTGTGAGAGACCCTTGTACAGATGGTCTGAGCTCTGTCTCAAATGTCATAGCACTGCTCAAACAGTAAATGTTTCATCTGGCCATTGAGTCTCGTGGTCAGTGCTCCTTTGTGACAGCGTCTGACTCACTGTTTGTTGCTGTATTGTCTGCTCTAGCGCTGTTGCATCAGCAGTGTTTTGGGACAGCTAGAGATGGAAGTGAAAGTGCGAGCTATGCTGCTGGTAATCACCTACTGTATTCTTTGGCCACCTTTAAACAACAGTATTAACTTTATCACTGGCTCTAACTTGACTGTAGAAGTTTTAGCAGTATATAGATGCCCCGAATTAATCCAAGCAGCTCAGTTAGGTGTACTTGTAATTTACAGCGGTGAATCGGATGTATGGATTGTCGTTTTTTTACAACTCCAGCAGTTGTTTGCTGCCATCTTTGAATTTTGCCGCTTTTTCACTGACATACCTGTTTCCTCTTTTCTCAACAAACGCCTACTTCCTCTTTCTGCCTGTGTCTCTCTCTGCCAAGCAGTGCACAAACTGTTGTCAAGTCTTTGTCTATGGCTTATGATGCTGAAGGCAGTTCACTTGCAGGCAGCTACTAAACTTGCTTAGAAAAGAGCAGCCTTCTCTGTCTTCTTTGCACAAGAAGCAGGTTGATTTGGAAAAAAATACAAAGCCTGCTGGTTGTCAAGTTTTCCGGGTGAGTCCTTGCGTCTTCTTAGTGTTTTTTTTTTTTTTTTTGTAAACTCTTCTTTCACACTGTACAGGATGCAGTAGGCCTCAGGGTGCGGCTCTGTGCACTCTCCTGCCTCCTTTCCTCTCCAGTGTGTCACCAGTGGGCATGAATAGTGTGGTCAGATGGTTGCAGTCTTAAGTAGTAAGTGTTTTGGTAAGTACTGTGCAAACCTGTTGGCTGATCTGAGATGACGCTCTGTGGGTTTTCCACATCTAACCGGAGAAGAATGGTAATGTCACAGAGTGGATGTGTTTTAAGACAATTGAGCATTGTGGCCTCATGGTTTTTGGGGGAGATGGAAATTTTGTGTCAGTAGTTTATGGTTTTGGAATGAATATTTAACAGAGTGGATACATCTGCTGGGTTGCAAAGTAATTGTCAATATGAAGGTTCCTTCACAATAACCCTTAGTTGTGTGCCTGTAGGTCTAATTGTCTAATTTAGCATTTATTTTTATTTTTTTTTAATTCCCTTCTGTTTTTTGCGGACTCCTTGTCTCTGAACGTTCCGGTGTTTGATTATCTGGGTTTGCAGAATGCTATCCAAGTACCTCTAATTGTTTCTGACTCACTCAAATTGCTGTCTTTCTTTGCTTGCAACACATTGTTTAATCTGTGCTTGTCTTCAGCAATACACTGTAGCTCCATGCTTCGCTCACCTTTCTGTGAATGCACATTTAGAAAGATTCCGCTGTATGAGTCTAAGTGCACGAGTTGACTTGGTGTTCACTAAGGGAGCTCGTGCCTTTGCGGGAGGTGGTTCGGCTGCTGTAGAGTTGCTGCGAGCTGCTGGTGCCGACGTTTGACAGGATATCCTGGTTACAGCAGCGTAGTGAGAGCCAGACTGAGACACAGAGGTGCCGACTGAGAGGCACCCAGGCCTGGCAAAAGTCGCACAGAGAGAAGTCACCAGGCTGTTGTGATGCTTGTCGGTTCTCCAAAAATCAGAAGATGCTATACTGAATTCATAAAAACCATCCGGTGCTGTTGATTTAAGGAAAATGTTTGTGCTTTCTTTCTATCTTGTTGGTATATATTCATGCATTTTGAGTCTGTTAGAGCATGACACTTCCTGCTTTGGTTGGATCTGGAAGCCATATTTCTAAACCATAAACCCAGCCTCCTTCCTTGCCCTTTGTCTTAGAATCAACAGCTTTTCCTGTCACCTGGTCTTGGGCACAACACATTTTTAAGCCTCTTAATTACAGTGTACTTTTTCTGTCAGGTTTTTCTCTTGGGATCATGGTGCCCCAGAAGGTACTTTTGCATGAAAAGATTTGTTGAATAGCTCAACCAGTCTGATAAAGCAGAAATTATGATTTGATTAAAAAAAAACCTTCCACCTATTGAATCAGCTCGAACATCTGTAATTAGGAGTGCATAAAAACTTGTTAGCAGAGAAGCAGAAATGGTTAACTAAAAGTAATGGACACAGTACTTGGATTAACTTAATGGATACATGGATGTATAGTTAGCTACAAATGTCTGAAATATTTACTGTAGCTAAAAGTAATGTAGATGGTTGAATTAAATGATAGATGGTTGGAAATTTAAAAGTTGGCAGTGGTTGGTGGAACCACTGTTTTATATGAACTTAAAGAGCTGGTTTTGACCCATTTATATAAATTGAGTGCATTTTAAATATACCGTATCTGATGTTTCATTCCCCCAAATGCAAAAACCAAGTCACAAGAAATAACTTTTTGCTATTAAAACCTTATCTCACAATATATTGAACACATTGAATTTCTCACATGCACACACCTCTCCTCATGGGTGTAACGTGACCATCCCGTGGGTAGTGTAGGGCGCCACGCCTGGAGCAACAATAACTCTTGGTCCTCTGCGCCATGTCAGTGACCTTTTGTCTCAGCTCTCAGATAACGGAAACACACACAATCACACTGACACAAAGTACACACACCGGGCCCTGCGGCAAGCTGGGCCCTTTGTAGAGACATCAGATGTGCAGCTAGAAGGAGTCTTTCTGAAATCCACCCAGCACATAGGCTAATGGAGACACACCGGTTTTTATGGTCTAAGAAGAAAGCATTTGATTGACAGGGGGACCTCATGTTGCTGCTTTATTTCATGGTGTGTGTGTGTGTGTGTGTGTGTGTGTGTGTGTGTGTGTGTGTGTGTGTGTGTGTGTGTGTGTGCGCGGTTATAGGGGCCTAAACAGGACCATTTAGTTCTAGCATGTTTGGTTTCCCATATTTGATTATATGCTGTAACAATAACAGTTTCAAATTTTCACCAATCAAATTTGTATATATCAAGATTACATGGTCAAGGCTAATGGGAAAGCGTAGTGTTTGGTATGCATCAGGCTGCTCAGGCGTCTCCATATTAAGTGTCAATTAAATGCAAAAGCCTGAGGTCTTATTAAAATCACCTAATATTTAAACCCTGACAGTTTGGGGGAAAAAAGAAGGGAGATTTACAATGTAATAAATGTGTCAACAAAGGCTTTTCTTGTTAGTGTAAAGTTCATCAGGGTTGAGTGCTGGTTTATCACAGCGACAATGTCTGTAAAAACTGCTGCATCATGTTCTCTCACACCATTTTTTAAAAGGTCCCAAGAGGAGCTGGCAGGAGCCAATGTGCTTTACTTAGATCATTTTCCTCTTGATATTCATGCCTCTGTTCTAGGGACTCTCTCTCCTTTATATATATATATATTATCCCTTAAATATGGCAAATAAACATCTAGTTTTGTCACCATGAATGTTTTAATTAAAGCTTATTGAAAGCAGTTTCATGCCATTAGAAAGTTGATTGATTCTGTAGCAGAGCTGGAAATGAAACGAGGTGACAACTGATATAAGATCTGCAGCTCTGTTGTCAGACATGAATGACACTAACACTAGTAGGCCCAGTCAGGCCCGTTGTCTCACATGTTGGTCTTTTGCAGTTTCATCCTTCTCTTCATGTGGTCTATTTATTCTTTTGTTACAATTTCTCTGTCACACTATTTTTTCATAATATCACCCTTTGTTGTAATTTGCTTTACTGGCATTTTTTCATGTTTACCGTCTTGTCTGCTTTCCTTTTATTTCTGTTACTTCGTCCACCCTTCTTCCCTCTTTCTCTCTTCACATTCCCTTGCATTTCTCACCCTCATCGCTCTAGCCCCTTTTTCTTTCCCCTCCCACTACAGACGATGTGGCCCTCACATTACACTCTCACATATCATGAATTATTGAGGTGAAACCCAGCACTGCTCTGCTGCCCAGCAAATAACAGGACTCCTCTGTTTCCTCTCTTCTCACCCTCTCACCTCTCTTTATTGATGGGTTTTGTTCTTTAAATTCAGGTCAGATCACCGGTTTCTGAGGGTAACATGAGATTTATCCAATCTTTTGGAGCTAATCCTGAGGAATTATAGCCGCTGTAAACCGGCGGCACGTGCCTCTCTGATTACAGCAGGTGGGCTGATGTTTGAAGACATTAACTGCACACACATATTCACAAATTACGGTGCCTTCCTGGACTGGAGCAGAGTCAGATTGGTTTGATATACTGTACACTGGGGGTGTACATTATTGACAAAAAAGGATATCTGGATATTTTCTTGGATGTCGTCTAATAATAAGCAGATGATTTTTAGCATCCTTCAAAAATGTGTTTAGGTCTTGTACTGTACTAGGTAGCACTTGGTTAATAGGATATTAATTGTTGCTTACTAATGTTACTGCTGGAAACAACATATTTATGGGTCTTATTTATTGACTTATTTTTCTTTTGTGCTGTGCCTGTTGTGGACAGCTGTCTTGCGACATATATCATATTTTGTGCGATGCTTGGTTTTCACACGCTGAATCAAACTGTCAAGTCATCTTTGATAGTGACCGATTTCTGACAGCAGTTAAATCTAACGGCATAGACTGCGAGGCTGGTGGTGTTTGTATTTTCTTTCCTGGTGCTAGTTGCTCACTCATTTTTAACGTTTTAGCACAACAGTTTTAGGCAGCCAGGCTGTCTTATCTGCGGTGAGGTGACCATGTACATCCAGTAGTCTAGCCTGCTCAGCTAAATAAGGCAGTGAATGCATTGACTTTCAAAGTGTGTTTTTGCTTGGTTTCTGTAAAGTGAGTGACATACTCTGTCAGCCTCACACATTGTTGAAACAGCAATTAAGATATTATTGTAGATGATACATGTCACACATCCCTAATGTACATGTGAAATTAAACCAGTGGAAGGATTATTAAACCCATATCAAACAAATGAAGGGATATATGGAGACAAACACACATATCTGAGGAAAGCATCAGAGATTGTTCCCTGGAGCTGTGTGTGTGTGTGTGTGTGTGTTGGGTGCAGGAAAAACATGTTGATCAAATGAGCGATGGACCATTTGTAGCCCTCATGGTGCGCTGGTGTGTTGAAGCACTGAGTCTCTCAATTACATTCGAGCCCGTTTTCAAGGGATTTACTGTGGCTGTCAGCAGTGAGATAGGTGTGTTTGTGTGCATCTCCAATCAATATGCGTCAAGGCCGTCCATCTCTGAGTCATCGGTAATTCTCAGAAGATGATGACAAGATGCTCGGAATACACGCTAAAGATACAAACACACTATCATTACTGGAAAACCAAAGCCAAATCATTCACACGTACTGTAAACAAACTTTTCACTCCATTTTAAAGGATAATTCCTCTTGATTAAAATTTGAATCTCTGTTTTGTTATGTTACTCACCAAAATAATTGCTGAGAACTGAGAATATGGCAATATCACCACAACAGTGTCAGGCTGAGTGGAAGAAAACACATCATCGTTTGGAGACACAGCTGAAAGGGAGCCATTGAAATGTTTGTAACACAGAAAAATCTGGTTGAGCCACACCTATAGTTTCATATATCTTCCCAGTCTGTTTATTGGTCTGGTTTTAGTTTACAGTTTCGATGTTCCTTTTACATTTCCCTTTTTTCTCTTTCAAATTGATTTGGCTTACTTGGGCATTTGTTTAAAACCCATCAGAACATTTTTACATTCTTGTTTCTTGTCAAGTTGGACTTGTCGCTCCTACTAGTAATATTTTAAACAAAGAATAAAACTGATGAGACGTCACATCAAGTAATGTGCTGCTGTATTGTTTTCAATGTACAGTAATACAGGACACAGAGTATTTTCAATTTTTAATTTTGATTTTACATACTGTCCTAACTTTTTCTGATTTTAGGTTGTAGTATCATATTTCTCAGTAATTGACTTAATGAGTACTGTTTTAGTATTACTAGTAGGAGCGCTGGCCAAAAACTATGACCTTAAGACCCAGGTTGTTAATAATGCTCATTTTAGATGTTAGTGAATCTATGAGTCTGTACATAGCATTTAGCTCAAAGGACTGCTGTGCCTAACTTCAGCATGGCAACATGCTGTCAAGGATAATGCTAACAGGCTGATGTTTAGTAGGTTTAATGTGCACCAAGCTGACCATCTTAGTTTAACATGTTATTAAAAGTGTAGTTGAGGCTAACGGAGATGTCCAGTTGACATTTCACTCCACACATGAACCTCACTTTGGAGCTAGAGGAAAAGTCAGAGGATCACCAGAGTTACTAAGATGTATCATTTGACCATGAACATCTGTATAAAATTTTGTCTAATAGTTTTTGAGATTTAAATTTGGGACAAAGTGATTGATCATCAGTCTGACCCCGAATCCCTGGAGTCATTGACAGTCTGTCTGAGGTGCTGCAGCTTTATAGCTCTCATTGCCTGCCTCTCTGTGCCTTTAGTCAGGATTGAGGAGGGTGATAATCTGTGCATGGATGACTAACATGCTATTGTTTGTAGAATGCAACTGAATCAATCACATATTCTCGATAAGGCTTGTCTTTGTGAGACGCGTTTTTATTCTACAGTGGCATAACCATAGCCATGTTTGTTTCAGCAATTAGTCTGTTAAGTGTAATGTGTGCAAGATGTGCACACACTTCTTTCACTTTGTTCTGTCCACATCTCAATTACCACTTTGCTTTTCCAGAAGTGACGCATTCTCTGCATAAAGTTGCAGAGAGGAAGGGGAACAGAGGTATGCACAGCTGCATGCACTGAAACACTCAAAGTATTTAATATACGTTATGAAACCACTCTGATCATCAATGAACACACCTGTTCATATTTCAATGGTGAAATTTGAAGCACATGGGAGGAGTGAGTCATTTTTGTGGAGTTGTGACAAACGTGACTTGCGTATGACATGCGCTTCGGAAAGAAAGATGTCCACATCTTGAGCTATTGATGCAGCAGCTGCCATGGCAACGGACCCTTGAATAAAGGCTATGTGGATTATTATGGGGTGACTCACTCAAAGCCAGGCCAGGTTCATTATTTGCACTATGTTTAAATTAATACATGTTCATAAAAAACACATGTATGCAAACAGTCACTCACACTGATAATAGTGTTACAAATAAACACAATACTAGACTAGACTGTACACACAGTGAGTATGAAATTACTCACTGTTCTTTCTGTGTTCATGCACACATTCTTTATATAACACATACTTTTCTTATCAATAGTTGTCTCCCAGGAATTAGTCTGAGCCATTTCTGATGCTTTATGGATTCAGATGAAATATGTGAACAGGTTTCTCCACCAGGAACTAGGATGATCCAGGCTGGGAAGGCAAATAATTGATGCCTTCCTCAGCAAGTTTTGGGGGTATTTATGCTATATTTTCAACTTGATAAGGGTGCAGTGATGGGTTTCTTAGACCCCCTTCAAGCTCACAGAAGTGGCTTTACCCAACTTCCCCCACGTGGTGATTTGCCTGTTTTTCCCTTGTAGATTCTCCAACTGGCTTATCTTGGAAAGCCGCAGGGTTTCAGGTCAATCCAACTGCTTGCTCCTCTGTCAGATATCATGCTTTTTTTGTGCCCTCTCAGGATAAAAGCAAAGGAGGAGTCACCCCGGATTACAGGCTGTGTGTGTGTCTGTGTGTTTGCATGAAAGAGCAGTGAGTGTTGGTGTACTTGTTGATTATTATACAGATGGTTTTTGTCCCCCACCATGAGTAAACTGACCTCTGTGGAAAACCTACAGCCTTCCCCTTTAAGCCAGTGACATCAAGCAGGGGGAAATTCTCTACTGTTAATACTAGTAACCTGCTAAATCTACTGTTGCTCGGCCTTGCTTGCTGACTAACTATTGTGAGTACAATGCCCTTATTGTACCTCTCTGCCTGCACTTCACTGAGAGCAAGTGCTGCTTTACCTCCCAGTGAAACACAGTGGATCTTTGAAAACATGGTAACTTGCCTGCTTTGACCTCATTAGCAGTTAAAAAAGTGAGATCCGAGCATAAGTTGTTTTAGTTTGTAATAACTGAGCGTTAGGAGTTGAACTGTATATTACAAAATACTTTTTACCACCAATATTGTAAAGTATTTACATGAAGTGTTTAGGGGAGGTGAACATAATATAGCTGCAGGCTAATGACTAGAGATGGCAGGTAATGCATCTACAGTTTCTATATTAGCGCTGACGATAAACCCTCATGATTTGCAGCTGTGCAGCATGACCTTAGATGGTTTTGTGGTATGTTAATATTAGGGACCAGTGGGTATATTGTACAGTCAGTACGAAAAGTTTTCAGATTCTTTCTAGTTCCCACATTTTGTTACGTTTCTGACTCGTCTTAAAATGGATTCCGTTTTTTTTTTTTCCTCATCAGTCTATATGCAGTACTCCACAATGATAAAATAAAAGCAGGTTTTTGGAAAGACTGAAATATCCCATTTACATAAGTATTCAGACCCTTCACTTAGCCAAGTCTCCTTGACAATTAAGCTACAAGCTTTCCATCCTTCTTTTGGAAATTTATTCCATTCTTCTTGGCAGAATCCTTCGAGGTCAACCAGGCTGGATGGCGTCAGTGACGGCCTCAAGTCTCCTTGAGAATGAAGCTCTATTGGGTTCAGGTCAGGACCCCTCCTGGGCCACTCCAGGCCAACCACAGAGCTTTCCTGAAGAAACGCCTGTGTTTTCTTGGTGGTATGCTTCAGGTGGTTGTCTTGTTGAAATGTGAACTTTCACTCCAGCCTGAGATCTTGAGCACTCTGGAGAAGGTTTTCATTCAGAATTGCTCTTTTTTTCTGCCTCCATCCTTCCCTCTGTCCAGTGGCAGAAAAACATCCCCACTGCCTGATGCTGCCACCACTCTGTTTGACTGTAGGGATGGTATTAGTGAGGTGATGTTCGGTGCCCGGTTTTCTTCACACACATTGTTGGGAATTGTGGCCGGATAATTCAGTCTTTATTTCATTAGACCAGAGGATTTTGCTTGTCTTGGTCTGAGAGTCCTTCAGCTGCCTTTTGGAAGACTCCTAGCTGTCATGTGCCTTTTAGTGACGAATGTCTTCCATCTGGCTGCTCTACCATAGAGGCCTGGTTGGTGCAGTGCTGCACTGATGCTTGTCCTTCTGTAAGAATCAATCAATCATTTCTTAAAGACTAGCCTGAAACATAACAAAATGTGCAAAACTCAAAAGGGTTTGAATACTTTCCGGTCTGGCTGTATGTGTCTGCACAAATAACAGTAAACTGGTGTAAGTAGGTCAGTTGACTTATTTCTTTGAAACCATTAAATGTTGTATGAAAGCTAATTAATTTGCTTGAGGTGTGTTAAGAACTTCTGTAGGAGTTTTGATGCTACCAGTGTCTCCTGAGCTCTCCCCAGAGTGCTGCTCTCTACCTGTCATGTACAGTATTTTTAAGCACTGTCCTTGTTGACCTTTTCTCCTTAGTCATTTATTGTATTCTTAGCTAATGCAGTCAGACATAATCTCAGATAACCAGACCTTGTTCTTGACTAATATGCCCCATTTTCTGTTTTTATTGTCTCTGTTTATTACCCATCAATCCCTGTTTTCTTGCTTCATCTGTCTCCTTCTCTTCCCTCTTGTCCTGCAGGTTTGGATGAGTTTTCTCCAGTAGCAGTGACAGAGGTGTGAGGCAGCAAGACCTCCCCAGACGCAGCCATGCCACCACCATCAGACATAGTCAAAGTGGCCATTGAATGGCCAGGGGCGTTCCCCAAGCTCATGGAGATAGACCAGGTAGGTGTTTTGGGGGGGGCTAGGTCAGGGCTGGATGTTGGCACTAAGTGATACTAAGCCTCTAAAGGATAATATAATCTCTATACCGTTGTCTTGTCCATGTGCTCTTTCTAGTTAAGGTTTTGTGCTCAGCCAAATATTGATTGTGAATGAGAGAAACACCCCTCTAACAGTGCTCTGTGGCCATGAGCAGACCGTTTTTGTAGTTCACTACATATGTAATTCATGATCAAATTTTCCACAATACTAGTAAAATATAGAAATGGATGCCGTTTCTGCTGTTATGATCAGGGGTGGATCTAGAAAATTTTGGATGGGGTGGCCAGGCTGGGGCACAGACTTAGAGATGGGTGACACACTAAATTAGAGCCCTGGTTTTATGAAATGAGAAATAATACATTATTAAATTGTTTGTTTGTGTAAAAATGATACACGTGTAGTGCTTTGTTTAGCTAACTTTGGCTGCAGTCTTTTACGCCCAGCCAGGGGACATTGCTGCTGCACACCGGTTCCACTCCCACTGAGGCAATTCATGCAACACAATTAGAGAAATGAATGCAAATATCACTCTGCATATAGGGTGTAAAATAAAACAAATTTGCCCAGTATCAATTATAAAGCACCAAAAACGGTTTGTTGTGTTTAAAGGAACAATTTCTCATAGTTTTTCATTCATTAATACTGACAAGCATTACATTTTGACTCTGACAGGAGTGGCACCATGGGTGACCAGTCAGATTTCAGGGCTGGCTGGTGCCTCCACCTGGCTTCACCCATAGTTATATAATGATACCGAATGTCTGATCAGTGACTCTTGAAAATGGATGTGTGCCAACACAGGCTCAAGTATGTATCCACAGATACAGACCATACTGTATGTCAGAGAGTGTTGGGGTCTAACAAAAAATGAATAGCATGTAAATAAAATAATTAACCCAAACAGTGGCTACCTCATGTGTGGGGCAATGGCATGATTACCATTACGCTGTTGTTTTATTACACACACAATGTGTAAAATGTTCTATTCTCTGTGTGTGACTCCCAGATGGGCTAATGATTGTACAAGCTATGAGTCACCGTGGCAACTGCAGTTACAACTGCTCAATGGATGAACCAGTGAATGAAGCATTGAACTAGGGAGGACATGTGTTTCTGGGTTTTGCCACAAGGTGCTTTGAGCACTTAACTGTAGATTTAGTGATGTAGTTTTTATACTTGATGACCCTGTATCAGTGGTACTCCCACAGCCTGAATCATAAAACATCTTTAAGTCCTGTTTGGTCTTTCTTTCGTCAGTACATCTTTAAGCTCCCCTCTCCTCCTCCTCCCCTTCCTCCACTTTTCTGTAATTCTTTTAACTCTCCCTGTCATCGGCCTCTTGTTTCTCCAATCTGTTGCCTCCTCCTCCTTGTCCTCCTTTGCTTTGTCTCTCCCCCCGTCTTTTGTTATAAATGTGAAATTTGCTCTGTGCCTCCTCCTTTCTTGTCCTCCACCATCAACCCCCACCTCCTCCTCCCTCTGCATCTCCCCATGTACAATAGGCCCTGCAGCAGCATATGGCTGTCTGAGTCATGCGATGGCAAGTGGGCTTCAACTGCTTGTGTTGTCTTGAGGCCCAGAGAAATTGTATGTGCACTTGTGTTGTTTTTTTTACATGGGTACAACTCTGCATAAGTGAAATTGTGTGTGGGTGTGTTTGTGTGGCAACTTGCATACTTGTTACTACTCATGCGTGTATGTGCTGACGGGTCTGTGTGTGTGTGTGTGTGTGCTTGTATCTATTTGTATGAGGATTCATATGCACTTTTTTCAGTGTTTGGGTATTTGGTTAGTATATTTTGGTACATCTTCTGTGACTGAGTGTGTCTACATACCTTGCATTGTGATTTCTGCATCTCTTCAAATATTCTATTGTATAATGACCCAGGCATAATCATTCAACATTTATTTTGGAAGGCTGAGGAATTGGTGCAAGTTCAAATGAAGGTAATAAGTGTTTTACTGTTAATGTTTGTCAGAAGTGCAATAGAGAAGCAGGGTGGGGTGATGGGGTTTCAGGTGGGATGACGCAGAGACTGTTTGCAGGTAGAAATCAAGAGCAAGACTTTTTATGCAAACAAGGGATAACTCGCAAGACTTTGAATACTGCATGACTCGCATATCCCAGGTGTGGGATGTTATACTCTTCACTGTAGTAAGAAGAGGTAATGGTTTGGTGTGGATTGGAGTGAATAGCATGGGAGTGCAAGATGTGGTGGGAGTTCAGGCAGAAATATGAGTAATTAATGAGTAGATAGGATAGTGCAGGTGCTGCAGCTCCTGAAGAATGAAAGGGGGAAAAAAACATTTTTTTAGAGCTTGGGGGTAAAAGAGGTATAAACACCAAACAGGGAAACATCATATTTTGTTTTGTTTTTTTTTTGTTTGTAGAAATTAACATCAGATTTTGTGATTGCAACCCATTTAGTCTAAATCCCTCTTATATGAATCCCCTTATATTAATTGAGAAGCAAAGAACATCTTAAAACAAAACAAATTTTAAAAAAGACCCCAAACCAAACTGCTGGTAAACAAACAAAAGACTCAGCTGCAACATTAAATGTGAAGTTGATCAGACATTATGTTTTGGAGTATAAACAGAACATTAGGTGCAAATTATTTATATAGGTCGTTAAGTAAACCATTATAGAAAAACAAGAATATAGAAAATTCAGCATAACATGCAATAGAAATACAAAACAAGAAAAAAAAATAGAAATCAAGAAAAAAATGCAGAGAAATCTCTGGTAATGGTAAATGATCTTATACTTGTATAGTGCCTTTCTATGCTTTACAGCACACTCAAAGCGCTTTCACACTACTTAGCCATTCACCCATTCGCACTCACAAACGCTCTTTGACATGTTGACTTGACAAGCCGGGAATCGAACCGCTAATCCTCCAGTTAGGAAACGACCTGCTGTACCTCCTGAGCCACAGCCACCCCTGGTGTTTGTTTCAGATCAGTAGTTGCAGAATAAATGTATTGTTGTGCTGGTTGTGTGTAGACACATTTTGCGGCTGTTATGGTGCTGAGACAGTTTTCTTGCAGTAGGTGTTGTCATCTGAGTTGGTCAGGGAGTGAGTCAGACTCTGGGATTTTACATTGTATTTGTGCAAAGAAATTAGTTATGTGTTCATAGGTGTTACACATAGTCGTTCAAGGTGTTTTCATATAATCCCTCCCTGTCTCTGTTCAACAGCCACTCTTCTTACCATCATCCACTTGTCTTCTTCCTGTGTTTGCTGTTTTCTTTTATCTTATTTACTTTACTTAATTTTTACTTATTTTGCCCACTGTTCTGCCTTTAACTCACCTAACAGCCCACCATTCCTTCCCTGTCACAAATACCCACCATCCTGCCAGTGTTATCTGCATCACTATAGTGTTTGCTTTTTGACACAGGCTCTCTCAACTGCAGGGTAAAGCCCAGAGAAGCAGCAGCATATCATCCACAATCCTCAGTACACTGTAACTGTATACAGATGCTTATTAAATTCCTGTGTGTGTATGTTGGCATGCATGGTTGTAATTGTGTGATGTGTGTACACTGAAAAGATTAAGCTGGGCACAGTGTGAATAGGAGACCCTAAGCTAAGCTATAACTAGACGGCACGGAGAGAGTGCAACCTCCGCCAAGTAAGCATAGGCATAAACTTTATCGTAAAGTATTAACAAAAATACATGGAATTTGACTCCAGCCCAATGGATGTGCACAACACTTTAAATAAGAACGAGACCAAACCAAAACCACAAGTAAAACTCTGTTTCTCAATTATGCCACAGAAGCAATATTCCCATGATAGTTTGACCCTCGTATATGATAGAATGACCCTGAAAACCTACAGCTGGTATTTGGAATGATGTTGATAGCTTCTCAAGCAACTCAAAGCCCCTTTCATTAGGTCCTTCCAGCATCTTAAATGGTCACTTCTTCCAAACCCTTTACCTCAAGTCTGTGTACTGATACCAAAACAAAACAAAACAAAACTGTGTAAGTCAGTGTAACTAAATATGCCATACTTTGCAATAAATACAGGCTCTTTCCTGAAAAACAGCATCTCATTGTGCCAGTCCTGTAATATCAAATAATTCCAGCCCACTCAGAGTTGAAAGCTGTTTTAGGAACTTAAGCTTGGACTGTGGACTAAATGTAGTTTTGCATTTCTCCACAGAAAAAGCCTCTCTTGGCGATCATTAAAGAAGTGTGTGAGGGGTAAGTCTGTGTTTGCTTTTGTCAGATTGTGTGTGTGTGTGTGTGTGCGTGTGTGTGCAAATGCCTTTGAAAAGAATTCTCCAGGGGTTTTCTTCAAACCCCCCTCTCTCTCTCTGCATACCTGAATCCTGTTAACTGTATTTTATGCAAGATGTTTCCACTTTTAATACCAGTTGTGCGGTGTTTTTCTCTCTCTCTTGCCCTCTCTTCAATGGCTTTCAGGTGGTCCTTGGGGAACCATGAAAACTTTGCGCTGCAGATTGCTGATGCAACAAATTTCTACATCACAGAAAAGGTTTGGGTATCTGTTTTCATCTCCAGGCAGCACTAGCGACAGTACAATTATGCCTCCAGTGTACACTGACTTCTGCTGTCGTCTTGTCATCCACAGAATCGCAATGACATAAAGAATGGCTCAATCCTACGCTTGACCACCTCTCCTGTAAGTTTATGTCAAAGTACATTAGAAAATATTGATACAGGTTTTATTTTGTATGTTTGATTTGGATAATTTGTCCTTTTGCCTTTGCTTTGTCCCTTCCCCCTTTCCAGTACCAGACAGCAGTCCAGCTTCATGAGCGGATCCAGTCATCCAGCATGGATGCCAAGCTAGAGGCTTTGAAGGACCTTGCCAATGCATCTCGGGACATCACCTTTGCCCAGGAGTTCATCAACCTGGACGGCATCTCTTTGCTCACTCAGATGGTGGAGAGTGGAAATGAGTAAGTCGATTGTCTGCCCCATCTTTTTTGCTGTTAGACTTCCTCTGTCGCTGCAGGGTTTTCTCCCCTCAACCGGTTTCACATCTCTCTCTGTGTGGTGAGTGTGACAGGGAACCGTAGTTGATTGGAGGAATCTAGATTTCCAGTAGTATCCTGTAATATTCAGCACATAATGTGTGATTTATGTAGATTTTATATTACATATTGACTCTGTCTGATCCACTTAAAATTTAAAACTTTATATTCAAGCCTGATTTGAGTTGAAATGACATACTGTACTAAATCTCTTTCAGATTCAGATAAATTCACACTGTTGTTTAATTTCAGATATTTAAATTATAGTTCCAGTGTTTCAGTAATTTTGTACCTGTGCCTGATGTGACAAACTGGGGACGTGTGACAGCGACCCATCTTACCTTAACTTAAGGCCATTGTGGTTTTAAATAACCAGGTTGAACTTTTAAAAGTATCCCACTGTCAGATCTCAGGTCACTGAGAGTCCAGGGGCTCTTTGGAGTTGCACTGTGCATTCTGGCTGGTTAAATTCAAAGCAGCTGACTGATGTGCTCATTCAGTAATGCTCCACAAATCAATGTACTAAGCTGGATTTATGCTTTTGCTTCAGGTGTCATGGCTGGCCCTCTGTACTGTGGGGAATGGATTTTTAGTTCAGCATAGTGTACCGATTTTATGGTGCTGATGCCAGTGTGTCATTAACAGGCCATGTTGCAAAATGTATTATGCACAGTACCTGAATTAATCTTTTGTTCAGCTTGTGATTTAGAGTAAAAATGGGAACATTTGGCCTGGTCTGGCTACTAAAAAGAAAGCTGCCTGATTGCAGTCATTAATAGACAAACTATTTACATTTTTTCCTGCCTTAGTAATGAAGTGTGGAAACCAAAAGATGTGCAGTGAAAATGTCTTGTGCTCTGATCAGGCAAAAATGTTTATGAAAAACATTTTATCAGAAATGTGTAGAATAAAATAAAAATAGCCAGACCAATCGGTTATTCTGTCTTCATGTAGTACCTCTGTGCCTGTACAGTTCAGGTTTTGAGTAGGACTACTTCAGTTATGGTGGAGTCTACAGTATGGCTACAAAGGCCGTGTGCATAGGACCCACAGCACACTCTCATCCAGGTGTGTTTCTGCTGAAATGAGAAGAGCACTTTTATTATGTATGTACTGCAGTACATGCCCAGGGGCTTGTGTTCATCTTTGTTGACTGCAATAATGCTATTACACAATTCTGGTATCCTGTCTGACAGTTCAGTACATCCAAAAACTCAAAGCTTGCATGTATGTGTGTGTCTGGGGGGTTAAGAGGCCCTGGAGCCTGTGACTGAGGGACATTATTTGCTGAGGTAGACTTTCTCAGCCATGATGCCAGAAGGAGCATCAGTAATACACTGTGAGAGTGTGAGGCGCCGGTCAGCCAGAGTCAGACCACAGAGGAGAGTTATGGTAGACCTGAAAACACACACACATACACATGAGCTCAGGTACGCTGCAAAGTGGCAGAGAGGGCGCCATCAGCCATCCACCCAGGACGCACTCATTTTCTGCCTCATACAGTTCTCATTATTCATTGTTTAACCCATTGAGAGAAAAAATAGATTGAAGAATTGTTCCTTCATAAGAAGTTTGCTATAAAGATGCATACTCACACAAGGTCAAGTGTGCCACAGTAAAAACCCAAACACAACCACACTCTGATGAGCACTTAATCTGTTTTTATAGCTCTGAGCAATGAACTCTATGAAGCATTTCAGTCATTTAATGAATTAAATCATAATGTGAAACAAAACTACATTTTCTCTTCTTTCATGCCCCCGGTTGCTTTGTATGTACACAGTGTTAAATTCTGGTCAGATATTTAATATCTTCTCAGCAGAAACCACTTAATAATCTCCTGTTTCTGCATATTAGACAGCAGCGCCTCGAGCATTGCACTCACTTTTACTATGTGGCAGAAAATCCCTGGAGCCTCTTGTCTTCCTCCTTTTGCATATAATGTTCAAATTAGCAAATATTTGACCCTGTTTGATCTCAGTGCCAGAGGCCAGTGCAGCAGCTCTGATGTCAACTCCATTCTCCTCCTGGCTCTTTCATTAAATACAGTCATAGCCAAAAATATTGACACCCCTGCATTTCTGTCAGATAATGCACCACCCCTCCCAGAAAAAGCAGAGAAGAAAGCCAAATCTGATCCATTCCACAGAGAACTCCAAAAATAGACTGGACAGAATTATTGACACCCTCAGCTTAACATTTGGTAGCACACCCTTTGGACAAAATAAATGAAATCAATGACTTCCTGTAACCATCAGTGAGTTTCTTCCACCTCTCTGCTGGAGTTTTGGACCACTCTTCTTTTGCCAACTGCTCCAGATCTCTCAGATTTGAAGGGCTCCTTCTCCCGGCTGCTGCTCTGAGATTTCTCCCCAGGTGCTTTATGGGAGTTAGATCTGGACTCATTGCTGGTAACTTCAGAAGTCTCCAGCTCATTGTCTGAAACCATTTCTGGTGCTTTTTGCAATCTGCTTTGGGCCGTTGTCCTGCTGTAAGAACCATGACGTCTGAGGGAGACCCAACTTTCTGACATTGGGCCCTACATTGTGCCTGAGAACCCGTTGGTAGTCTTCAGATTTCATAATGCCACACACAGTCAAGACATCCAGTGTCTGAAGCAGCAAAGCCAAACATCAGTGAACCTTCACTGTGTTTGACTGTAGGGACCGTGTTCTTTTCTTTTAAGGCCTCATTTCATTTTCTGAAAGCAGCAGAATGATGGTCTCGACCAGAAAGTTCTATTTCTGCCAGAAGGATTGAGGCTTCTTCAGGTAAGTTTTGGCAAACTCCAATCTGACTTTTTTATGTTTCTGTGTCAGCAGTGGGGTCCTCCTACCATAGCCTCCCTTGTCATTCAGATGACACTGTTGTACCCTATGCCTGTAGGTCAGCTTGAATGTGTTTGGAAGCTGATCGAATGTGTGGAATGTGTTGTTCTAATGCAAACAAAAGAAATGAACATGAGCATACCAAAGAATTTGTGATTGCAACAATTTTCTGGGAGAAGTGGTGCCTTATCTGACAGAAATGCAGGGGTGCCATTATTTTTGGCCATGACTCCGTTTTTATGTAAAAGAGCATCACATCAGTTATTCAGGTCTGGAGAGTTTAAAAGTGGCCTGTGTGTGTAAGCGACAAAGAGCGAGTGGTTTTGCTGCTTTTTTCATCTCAACAGAAGGAGCTTATGAAACCCAGTCGCAGATAGCAGATAGGTATCGGTGTCTAACATGCACACTCACTGTGCCTGCCGGCCAACTTGGTGGTCTGTAATTATTCAAGAGGCTCAGCGCTGGAGCCTCTCGAGGGCAGAGTGGTGCTGTGATCTAATGCTTCCGCCAGAGATGTTATGCTGTATTCATGTGGAAACCAGCTGGCAGCTGCTGCTGCCCACACCAGCTCCATCAGTAAAAGGCAGATGTCGCCCTCTACTGACCAACACGTGGAACAAATGTTTTCTAATTAGGTTTGACACATGACTGTTCAGAGTGCACAGTGCAACTTCTACCAGCTAATTCAGAGGTGCTGTTTATTTAAAAAAAAAAAAAAATGTGACGAGGCATTTTAGATGTTTTAAAAGGTTGTTACTTTTCTAGTGAGCAAAAGGCCCCTGGTTCATACAGACAACAATGATACCGTTTGTATCTCTCATTTTTTATTTGTGTGTAATTGAATTGTTTGTGGCATTTAATTCAAAGTATGTATGAGCATGTTGGATTGTGGAGCAGAAGTCTGAGGTTATGGTACATGCAAGGAAACGGCATCTGTCAATTCAGATATTTGAAGTGTGCAAACTCTTTTCATGTTAAATGAAAGTGTTGTCTGATTATATCTGTGCACTATCCTTGCTCTGTGGAAGTAAGGTTTGAAGCAAACGGATGCTTCATTTCAGTTGAATAAGAAATAACTGCAGACTGGTCTTTCTCGGGTGTTTATGCTTAAGTCCAGACTGAGATGTGTGTTGGTCCTTGCTCTGTGCTAAGACTTAAAGGTTTGGTTGTTTGTTTCTCACTTGTGACACCAAAGTTTCTCAAATCTTTGCAGGCGCTATCAGAAACTACAGAAGATTATGAAGCCCTGGTAAGCCCCTCCACTACCCCGCCAGCGGGGTGACCTCATTGGCTCTGTGCTCTTCCTAACTTGCTGGTCAAGTCTGCATGATTAAGACTCTGGCCCCAGTGTCTTATGGGAAATGATATACCTGCTTAACACAGCCACTTACAGGCTTTCATTTTGAAATCAGGGTCACACTCTTTGCATGTGATTTTGGGCAACAAATCCAACAACTTCCTTTTTCTTCTACGCAGACTGAAAGAAGACCAAGATTTATTTGTAATAATTAATTCAAGTAAGACATTTATTAAAACAGCTGAATGCAGTGTAATAAACATTTGCAATTAAATGCTCAGAACAACTACATGTATCGCTTCATCAAATACAATCATTGCTCATCTTATCAAATGAATCTTGGTGTTCTTTACAAAACGGCACTGCTCAGGGTGTCACTACTTTCTCTGGATTTGCTGTGAACCAGTTTCTAGCTAAACGACTCGCTTTTTCTTCATCATTATTAGCTGATAGCCTCTATCACCAGAAGAACACCATTCATTCATCTACAAGGTTTCCTTTACTTTTTCTGTCATAAATAATCTATTCACTAATGTTGGTATATAGTTCAATTTTTTTGTAGTGTCAATTAGCTAAATGCCCAGTACCATCTGCAAAAGCCTCTTCATCCTTGATCTGTGGGTTACTACTTGTCCATTTCACTACTCACTAACCACCTACCATGCAGCAGTGCTGACCCATGTTGCTCTACGTTGATTTGATCTCTATGGTGGAATATTTGTGTCCTCGAAGCTTATATCGGCCTCTCGTTTGTGTTCAAAATAGGTTTTTAAGCTCTGTTATATCTTTTAAACTGTTTTATAAAGTGATTTTTTTTAAGATGCATAGATTTTGTTTGGTTTAGACCTTCATAGTTGGGATTCATACAATTCGGCTAGAATATGAAAAGCATAAAAGGATGCTCAAAAACTGAACACGGTAAAAGCCCGAGTAGAGCACAGTTCCTGCAGTGCCAATTTGGAGCAGTAGATGTCAGTATTATCAAATCTGTTCATCAAGCCAGGGTTTTAACTCACTGAACAGTTTTCAAAACAAGCTAGCGAGACCAGCTTGACATTTTTAATTTCATCATGAGTGAGAACTTTTTCTTTTATCTGTGATCAATCATGAAGTTCCCCTAGCAGTAATATGTCTGGGATATAATAGCTGTTTAATGTGTTCCCTGCTTTGACCTCCTGTGACTCTTTCAGAGTCATTTATTTCTCCTGATGTTTGTGTAACTGCATGATTTCATTCTGTAATATAGCTTTCTGGTCCTGACTGAACATCATGCTGTGCTGCCCTGCTCCTGCTGGCCTTCTGACAGCCCTGCTGTTTCATAAAGGCCACTCTGTCTGCACTGCATTGCAAGCCTCTTTCCCATTTTCTCCTCTCTCCCTGTCTCTTATTTTTTCAGTTTTTTTATCAGCAAGTCTGGTTGCAGCATTGAACTTATGTTCTCCTGTCCCCTTTCCCCCTCTCCACCACCTCTCTCTGTGTCTGCTGACCACTCATTCCTCAAGCCATCTGGGCTATGCAGCTCCAAACCATCTGTGAGAGAGAAGTTTCCTATGGTTTGTGTGTGTCTGTGTGTGTGCATTTTCTTGTAGTTTTGGTGACCTGCTGTCCTTCACTCTGACGGCCTTTGTGGAGCTGATGGACCATGGCATCGTCTCCTGGGACACTTTCTCTGTGGCCTTCATCAAGAAGGTCAGCCAAGAAAATGACTCATTTAACTGGGCTGGGATTTAAGAGGCCACTTAGAGTCATAAATGCTGCTGTCACGCTGTATATTGGCTGGAAAGGGTTTGAACACTCACAGTGGTTTTCATGGCCTCTACAATAAACAAAAGGTTGGAAGCTTAATATTTTTTGGTCAAATTACAACATGCTTAAGTAGTTTATGTTGTGACATCAGTGTGTAACAGACAATAGAGAAATCTGCAATACTTAACAATTAAGTGTTGGTTAGTACTCTTCACCTTCAGATTTTTTAAATGTATGTATTATATAATGTATGTAACACAAACATTAATCACAACTGGACATGTTTATCCTGACATAGTTTGCTCCCCAGATTTCAGAACATGCTACGCACATTATACACATTTGTTTTGGATCATCCTCTTCACACAATTATATGTTACAGCAACTAAGTAAAAGTGCAGATCTTCAGTTTTGCCTTACCTTTATGTTTCCAGGTGCCAAAAGGATTTGGGCCAATTATTGATATATTAATTGTAAGAGTCCATCTTTGTACCTCTAGAGCATTAACTCTGATAGATTCCTGCTCTGTCCTTCCTGCAGATTGCCAGCTATGTGAATAAGTCAGCGATGGACACCGCGGTGTTGCAGCGCTCCCTGGCCATCCTGGAGTCTATGGTACTCAACAGTCAGGATCTGTACCACAAGGTTGCGCAAGAGATCACCATTGGACAGCTCATCCCTCATCTTCAGGGGTAAATGGAGCAATCAGTAGAATGTAATTGTGAACATTAATGATGTTGATTCATTTGTGAACCAATCGATGTCCTTTACACAGTGATAAATGCATCTCAGACCACATCTGCCAATGACAATAAACTACTAATTGCGATATTTGATATATTCTTGTGTGGGTGATTTTCTGATTACAGGACTGATCAAGATATTCAGACCTACACTATTGCTGTCATCAATGCTCTCTTCCTCAAAGCTCCTGAAGAGAAGAGACAGGTGAGCCTACACAGCACTTTCACACTGTACTCAGTATGATGCACCGAGCTTTATATGGTACATATTCATCACTGTTTTTGTGCTGTGACAGTACTGTTGGTGTCTAAGAATCATCTGCAGAGTAAACACTGTAATGAAATAGTGATAAAAGCACCACTCACGTCTCTGTCGTTCCTCTCTGCAGAAGTGTATTTTGTGCTCAGCCATGCTCTCCTTTCTCTACTCATCTCTCTCTGTCTGTCTCTCTCAACTATGACACGTTTTGCCCCGTAGTCACATGATCCCGTGTATCAGCACCACTGGGTCCACCGGTGTGCTGGAACATTAATGATGAATGATGCTAACCCACAGCTTTTCTACTGTGCAGCATACAAAGCCGAGTACATGCTATGCAGAAAGCTTCACAGCATTAATGCATCCAGGCAGCTGTGTTTCCTTTACTGAGGCCAAATTAGTACATTTTGACACTTTGACAAGGGTCAGCTCAAATCACATTCATGTGGTCAGTCGGCATCAATCTTGATGCTGTTGTTTTAGGTGGTGATTGAGCTGTGTCTATTTTTGCTCAGGTGCAAGCATGTGTGATAATATAGGAGCCCATTTTATTTCTGCACCGTGGCAGTTTTACACATGACCTTGTCAGACAGGTACATTTATACTCTGATGGATCACAGATGAAACATGCGAGAGGCTCTCAGTTTTTGCCATGTGCGCCTTACAGGACAGATGCTAGTGTGTGTTTTGTGTGTTCGTGTGTGTAGTAAGGAAAGCTGCTATTATGAGATTCCCCAGTCTGTCACCATTCTGCTGATTTCGTCACCTCCCCCCCTCTCCTTCCACAAGCTGCACTACGGACAGAATATGAATTTTTTTTAACCCTCTCTCAGACTCTTTTTTCCACATTCACTCACTCATCCTCTCTGTCTCTCTGTCTCTCACTTTGTTTCTTCACTGCACACGATATGGTAGTTTGATGAGCACATTGTGGACATCCTAAATTGTCCCCTGACAGTAAGTGCACCCTTGATTAGCACACTACATAGCTTGCACTGTAGAGGACATTAGTTAGTGCATTTAGTATCCCTTTTTAAGATTAAGTTCTATTGTGGGATGGCTTCCTTTCTGTTTTTTTACAGCCTGGCACTGCATACTTTGCGGTGTGCCTCAGCAGTATCATTTTTGTTTTTGCCCACATTCATTTCTCATTTAAATCTAAAGAAACCCAGCAAAAAATGTTGTTATATTGATGTCTCTCGTTGTAATCGTTCTCACTTTGTCCTCACTCTTCCTATATCCTTTCTTATTTTGTCCCTGTTTCTCCCTCTTTTTCTTTCTCGGCTCTACAGGAGATGGCCCATATTCTTGCCCAGAAACAGCTGCGCTCCATCATTCTCAGTGTAAGTCTAGCCATGCCCTCCTCCTCTTTACATCTCCTGTGTATCCCTCTGTCTCTCTTGGTCTTTATCACTCTTTATCTCTGTCCTCTGCACTAGTGTGATATCAGAGAGGAAGAAGACACCTGCCACTTCTACCTCTGTCTCACCTCCGTGGTTATCTACTTTAGTCATTTTCTCACACCTGTTCCCAATTGTCTCTTTCATCCTCTCCCTTGTGATAATTTTCATTTCTCCCTCTCCTCTTCTTTCATGACTTCTGCTTCTTAATCCTCATCATTTGCTCCCAAATCCTCTCCTTCTGGTTTATATCTTGCCGTCTTCCTCCAAAATCCATATCTCCCCTGACCCTGGCCCCTGTCCTTCACCTTCTCATTGCACATTTAACACCTTTTTCTTACACTCTCCTGCTCCTCCCTCTCTATCCCCTCCCCTCTCTCCCTCCTCTGTTTGACCTTCACATCATGTAGAATGTGATCCGGAGCCCCACACCCATCAATGATGAGATGGCCCACCAACTGTATATGCTGCAGGTGCTCACCTTCAACCTGCTGGAGGACCGCATGATGACAAAGATGGATCCCCAGGACCAGGTGGGAAGTGTGACAGTGCAGGGCGGGATAGCTGGGATGGATGGAATAAGGGGGACATGGTGGAAGTATAAAGGAGGGGAAGTTAGGATCATCATTATCGGGCCTGGGGGACATGGTGGAAGTATAAAGGAGGGAAAGTTAGGATCATCATTATCTGTTCTCAACCCCAAGCCTTAGTTTTCCTTGTGTTTGTAATTTAGCTGTTAGATAATCATGGTTATTGGGGCATTAGAGTGTTGCAAAATTTTCCAAAAAAAAAAAGGTTAATGCTTTTGTCAGGGATGATTTTTACTGTTAAACTGATATATGTTTCAGTGAATTTTTCCAGCAGCTGGACAGTGGGATTGGCTTAAAATCAAATGCAATGCCCATGTTTGTCATGAAATGACATGCCATCCAGTGTAATAGTGTTGCTCAGTGTGTTCACTGTAATAGATGTTGGTCAACATTGTAGGTTTGTAGCACAGATGTTTAACCTGCAGTAATGTACACTGCACAAATAACATCACACCCTGCAGGTGTACAAAGGGCAACTGTGGCTCAGTAAATGGAACCCATAGGGTTGGCGGTTCAGGTCCTGGCCATTCCAGTCCACACGTTGAAGGGACAAGTCACTGAACCCCCAGTTGCCGCCAGTGATATCACTGGTGTGTAAATAGGTGAATAGGTTAAAAGTGTAAAGTCCATCGAATGTGCTTCCATACACAGAAAAGCCTTATAAAAGCCCATTTACAAGAACAATTCCCCAAAAAAAACTTTTTAGGAAAATGAGAGGTTTGTGTCTTGGAGGGATTTCTCAGCAGCACCGCCAAACATGCTGCAGCTGCCAGGAGTAAATAAATCATTAATCTTTTCTTTACCAGCTTGTGAGCATTTGGGTCCGACACAGCCAGATCTCAAAAACCAGTTATTGTAAGTTTATAATATAATTTAAAGACAGTGGAGAGAGAGACGGCTGCTGTCAGATTGTCTTAGCCACTGCAGACAGCAGAGATGAGGCTGAAGCATATAAAATAATGAACAAAAGAAAAGACTTTAATGTTCTTCTTTGCATGTGCAGGCTCAGAGGGACATCATCTTTGAGCTGCGAAGAATTGCCTTCGATGTGGAATGTGCGCCCAACAACAGCGGCAGCATCGAGAAGCGCAAGTCCATGTACACACGTGACTACAAGAAGCTTGGCTTTATTGTAAGTTGTGCACGTGTCCTGTGGTTCAAACTAATACTAATAAAAACACACACGACTCAAAACTGGGATCATAAAGGAAAGCAGGAGGCAGTATGTCCACAAGGGACTGCTGTTAGTTGGATGTGATTGTCCTTCACTTCCAAATGTGCAGGTCAAAGTGTGTGTGTGTGTGTGTGTGTGTGTGTGTTTGTTTCTGTCCAGGCATGCCAGGAAGGATGGGTTGTCAGTGTGTAGTGTTCTCTTACCCATTTTATTATAATGTATTTCCTCCTCAGACTTTTAACTCTTTTTTTTTCTCCCTATAATGTTTTTGTTTACTGTTCTTGCTCTTATTATATGATCTACCTACTTTAAATCATGCATGTTTTTTGACCTGCATGTGTGAGTGTGTGTGGACTTGTATGCAGTGGTCTAACTAGCATGAGAACTTGGATTAAACCCAGTGTGGCTTGGCATAAACCCTGAGCTGTTTCAGGACTCTACACTCCCAGTATATAGCTCAGTGATGATAAGCCCAGTCGGACCTCATCTCCACTAATATGGAGGAAAGTCACCCTAAAGTCCTTATTCTGCTTTCCATGCTAGACAGATTGCAGGAACAGACACACAAACATAGTGTACACACACGCAGGGCTTAATTTTCCTTATCACTACTGAGATAATTGGTTTGCCTTTTAATACCTTTGGGTTCTTTATGCTGGAATTTTTTTCACATTTCCATATGCGAGTATTTTTTAAGATGCACATATGTCAGAGTGTCTGTTACCGTTTTAAGCCTACACGTCTGTTTCTTGTCGGGCAGAATTACAAAAAGGATGAGCCAGATCTCAGTGTCCTCGTTTCTCCTTCATCTTCTTCTTTCTCTCCTCCTCTTCCTGTCGCTTTCCTGTTCAACATCCTGTCTCACTGTTCAAAGTCAAGATGAGCTTCGAGTGATGTGCTTGCATGTGTATCCATTACTGTAATCATTAGTCCTATTTATTAATGCAGCATCTGAGAGAAATGAAGCATGATAGACTATGGCAGCACAGGCAGTATCTGTCTGCACAGGGGTTACAGAAGACTATAGTGCACTGTAAAGGCTGGTTTGTTTTTGAAAAGGTTTGGGGCTTGAAGTGTTTTATTGTAAACTATAAATCATGTTCAACATGTTTTACATTTTGCTGACAATTTTGCAAAAATAATGATCATTTTTTTCAATTGTTTTTTTTTTATACCGTACTTCCAAGGCAGCCAACAGTTTGTTCTTTTTACTGCATTATGAAAATCAGCTTGCAGAGACATGAAACTTGTTTGATGATGCTGTCATTGCCAAGTAAAATCCACAAATTTCAAAATGTTGAACTTTTTTTAAGCCTAATTTTTAGATAGTTCAGTGATTTATTTATTCATTTTTCTTTTTAGGATTTTTATTCTTAGACATAGAACCTGCAAAAGAGCAACCCTGAAGATACTGTATGTTGTCTTGAGCAGCATTTTAGTTTTAGTAGTTCATTTTTGAGTTCTTACTATAAATGTTAATCAATACAGCTAAGGAAATAAAACCCAGTTTCAGTGGCTTTATAAAGGTTACCACCACAGTGCAACACACCCATTACATAAGTTAGAATGTCAAGCAAATGCAAGTTAATATACATTTTATAGAGAATTGAATGATTAGGCAAAATGCTACAATAATGCTTTGGTGTAAAGTTCATGGGTAACATGCAGATTAACTGGATCTGGAGCCAAGAGTAGGAAACTTGTTATACTGTGTAACTCCTAGTGTATTTGTCTGACTGTGCATCCTCCTCTTTCTCTCCCAGAACCATGTGAATCCAGCTGTGGATTTCACCCAGATTCCTCCAGGCATGCTGGCTCTGGACAACATGTTGTATTTTGCCAGGCACCACCAGGACGCCTACATTAGGGTAAGCATACACGGGCACAGTACAGTACACTTTCATATACCCTATGTAGGCACATTAACACACACACTAACACACACACACACACACACACACACACATAGACAGACTTCTGTGGTGTCCTGTTTCTCCTCATCACCTCTGCTTCCTATCAAACCTGCTTCCCCTCCAGCTCATTCACTTATTTGTAGTTTCTGGCTTGTTTCCAAATTTTCTTTCAGCTAAAACTGTGTGTCATGAGGTTGTTCAGCCCAGACAACAGACATGATTTGATCCCATTCAGAGTTGGTCTCTGAGAGGCAGTGTAATGACTTTAAACATATTTTGAATAATAGTATATAGTTCATGGTGTCTGTATGTGGTTGGATGGTATTCACAGTTTTTTGTGATGAGTGGATCTGACTTTGTGCACAATATCTGTGCAATAAATGTTTCTCCATGAAGGTGATAATGTATGATGTTTTTGTGGAGCCTGGAGTCTGTGCTGCTTTTGAGCTCTGAGATGGCGATCTCCTTTCAACTGAGAGGCTGGTCAGCTGAGGAGCTACACTCCAGTCTGTCTTTGAGAATCTCAGATCTGACACCAAATCCAAGTATAATAATTACTCCTAGACACACAAAATAACACATGAAAGCAACGCATGAGCCATGATAAATAAGAAAAACCCGGCAGATGTCCTGATCGCTCATGTTACAACACTTAAAGTCTGTCAGACCTCACTGAGCACTGCTGTCAATCATTATTCAGTTACAGTGTCCTCAAGCAATCAGGTTTTGCAAAGACATACCCTTGCTACTACCACGGGAATATATCTTGTGTCTGTTTTTGGGTGATACAGCTTTAATGGGCTGTGCAGTCCCGCAGACCAGTCACTTTTGGCACAACACCATAAGCAAAGTGATGTTCCTGGCAGTTCTAATGTCAAAACGACTCTGTGGCCAACATCAGTACATGCAACAGTGACACTGAAAAAATGTAAGCTGTATTTAAGTGATATCACATGAAATTATAGGAGCTTTAGTCTGCATCTGGAAATTTAGGCCTAGTGTCTGATGACCACTGTTTTATAGCAAATAAATGTCTTTGGTTGCTATAGACAAACCTTTTCATTCACCAGCATTTCATCAAATGTTTGACCATTTTTATGTCAGAAGAAATATGGTCTTTTATGATTTGTTTGACTCAATTGATCGTCTGTGTTTCTAGATTGTCTTGGAGAACAGCAGCCGAGAAGACAAGCATGAGTGTCCGTTTGGCCGCAGCAGCATTGAACTGACCAAGATGCTCTGTGAGATTCTGAAAGTGGGCGTGCTTCGTAAGTCTGCATCAGCACAACAGATGCACACAAACATTAAAACTCAGTGCACTGTAGGTAGTAGTTCTTCTTGATCTCAGTTCGCTTCCTATTTTTACATTATCCTCAGAGGGAGCATATAGACATTAAGAAAAATGGCTCAGGGAGTGCTTTACTCACAGAGATGCATACAGATATATCTGTATACAAAAATACAAACACACAGACACACATCCCTGTTAAGATGAAAGCAGCCATTATGCTCAGTAATTGTGCTGCTGGGAGGCACATTATTTAGCGATGTACTTCGCCCCCAGTGACTCCCTTTCAGCCTAATATACTACCTCTGGGAGGCACAGTGCTCAGAGAAAGAGATGCTGTGCCCACGTCCACTCCAAATTGATGTGCCCTTTTCATTTGTCTTTACTTGTTTAAATGGGTGAGTTGGTCTCAGGTCCGCTCCAGACTGACCCCCGCTGCTCCCTATAGGGATGGAGATGACATTTTGAGCACACTTTTAAACTGATGTGCCCTTTTCATCTGCCCATGTCTTTTATTTCATAGAGGATTTAGACTTGGCTGCATTGCGGGTTGTCTGCAAACTGCAGGAAGAACATTAGACTTTATTCCATGAAAGAACAGCATCTACTTCTGTTTCTCTGCCTATAAAAATAGGACATTGATTCAGATTCACTCATGTGCTTTTAACATTACTAATAAAATGTTAGGTTTCTAAGCATTTTGCAATTTCTCTGTCCAGTTTTAATGTGCTCTTATCTGTGTCAGACTCTGCTCTAATGCAAAATGTCTCCGCCTTCCCCTCTCTCCTCATCAAATTCTGAGTACGTAGTCAAAGCCAAATGGATTTATATTTTATTTTAACCAGAAAGATGTTGTCAGGACTACTTTATCATACAAATGCAGTTACTCAGCACAGCATGTCCTGACATGGAAAAACAGTGTGGGTGAGTAGAGGGTTTTAGTCTGGGTGAGGAAACGGTGAGCAGGATGGGATGGCAGTGTGGGTCATGTCTCCTGCATTGCTACGTGCCATGTCTAGTTAGGCTTATTTCAATGATCTCTTGGCTTGTCCTTCCTAATTCTGTGTGTTTGTGTGCATCTGACGGCTTTACTTTAGTTTTTATCTAAATGTGCTCTACTGCACATGGCCTTTTAGCCTTCCCTCTGAGTAGACTGAAATTACTTCCCTTTATTCTACTTACAAATATCGCTTTGACCTGATATGTATCAAAAAAGCAGATTAAACAATCACACAAAACAGGGAAATGTCTTTTTCTCTATGGCTTTTCTAAGCATGTACAGTAGCTGAACGCTTGCGCAGTAGAGTGGAATCCATCAGACAAATGCCAAGCCATGATTATGAATAAGACTTTGTTTTTTTTGTTTTTTTTAGTGTCTTGCTTGTTCAAATAAATAGAGCTGAGGCAGGTGCAGGGTTTCACAGAACTTACAGACGATATGACGAGAATATGCAACCAGACCGACTAGTTCTGTCACAGCATTTTGTGATTTATTTGGTCTCAATGATAGAAAACTGATAGTAATTAGTGTTTTCTAATATTTTTATGAAGCCAAAGCTATTGTTACATTATGATGCTGAAATTCCTCTGCAGGACTGTATGCTGGAGTTGAATCATAGAAATGACCTTGACCCTTCTACTCCCAGTAGCAGTATAATGTCCTCTTTACTGAGGCCATTAGCCTCGGAGGTCGGACCTACTATTAATATTTATGATGTTGTATAGTGTATTGTTTATATTGTCCGACTTGGTAACGGGAATCCATAACCAGAGAATGAGTCGTCTGTTTATAGATGCTTCCATTATAACACCATACTCCAGGTTTAGACATAACAGGACTTCCATATACACAAGTAGGTCATTTATGGGCGCATGGTAAAAGATACAAAATTTAAAATGCATGTAAAGTGAATCCAGTAGAACAAGAAAAAAATCTTGCGGGAACTCACTGAGGACAAGTGAGAACATTTTTTTTTACATATTTATATTTACTGTGTCCCTAAACTTAATGTTCCAATTCTTCCTTGTCACACTCCAGTAAATATCTGCATAGACTCACAGAGCATTATGTGCATCTTATCCTTATGGGAGGACGCTACTGTGTCCCAGACTAGTCATAATCTGCACTGCATCTTCTTATGTTAAGAGCTAAAGACTTTTCATACACACCCCATTAGCCCCGTGTATATTAACATGCTAATGAATGTATGAATAGGATAAATGTAACAATGGCCAGGCAGGTGCTGTAAATGCGTAGTGAGTGTTCCTGTGTGTGAGAGATGTGACGTGCACAGTAAAGCTGAGAGAAATGAGCCTCAGCTTCATACTGGCTGTTGTCATTTGCTTGACCTTTTAACAGCGAGAGAACAAAATACCTGACACTAGTGAGGATGTTGCAGGGCATGTCTGTGTCTCTGTAACGTTTTAGCAGTTGGAATTGCATGGTATTTGAGTTTGAGTAAAACTGCAAACTGTGGTGCATTATTTCACCAATAACTTGAAGAGTAACAATGGCATTTTCAGCCGATTTTATTTATTTGATTTTAGTGGACATTTTTGAACACCATGGGGAAAAACATATCCTACTTTTTGTGCTCTACATAAGAATGATCATAACATAGCTTCTAACCAGTGGCATTGTGCTGGGCAGTGGCACTGTTCATCCATCAGTCCACCACTTTAGCCTAGACCGAAATATCTCACCTTTTATCAGATGGGTTCCCATGAAGTTCCGTTCATGATCTCCAGAGGATGAATCCTATTGACACTGACTGGCCGACATTACCTCTAGTTGCCACAATTAGGTTAATATTTTTAGTTTTGAGTGAGGTGTCTCAACAACTATTAGATAAATTGCCATAAAATTTTAGTACAGACATTCACATTTCCTTCCAGAAGATTAGTTTTGCTTTGATAATCCTCTGATTATCTGCTACTTGACTTCATGACCAAATAACAGCAAACTAATGACATCATTTTTATCATCAGCTGTACTTAGTGTTTAGTGTTAATTAACAAATTTTAGCTAATCATTTCCTGGCCTATCTGTGTTTCACATAGATAACTTGGCGGAAAGCACTGATTGGTGAGGTGAACCTTGTCAGTAGTGTTCCAGATGTGGCATCTGTCAAAAATAGACTAGATGCATTACTTTAGTGAAGTTGACCAGAGAGCCACAAGTGGGACAGATTGGAGATGTGATGCAGCCAGACCTGGTAGAGTCACAACCATTGACTAGACTGGCAGCAATCAGCTCCAGTGACCACATCGTAGATGGAACACAACACGGCTGCATCCAGTGGAAGCGAGAGGTCTTGTCTTGTATTGTGGAAACGTAATCCTTTTTATTTGAATCTTGCAAATAACATAGTTTTACAAATAAAACTTGGTGCAAAGCATGCAAGCAGAAGGTAATATATCCATGAAGGTAGCTGTACTCTCTAAATATTTCATAATGCTGAGTAAAACTAGAACATAATGCTGCTGGTAGACTCTCAAAACCTTTCAGTTAAGCAAAACAGAACAGAAGCACTCTGTAATTCTTCACTTAAAAAGTCATGGTTATCACAGTTTCTGTGAATGCAGTCCATGCCCCCAGTGCACACCCCTCTGTGAATAAAGGCAGGAGAAAAAGACAGCAGATTAATGGTGATGGCAGTGACATCTTAGTGGCTCATTTACTTCTCCATCTGTGTGAAAAGCCAGTAATGCTAGGGCCAGACCTCTCATGAGGATAAAACACAGTCAGTCTGGATTTGCAGAGGATTGTTGGTGTTGCCTTTCTTCCCTGCTTGTCTTTTCCAGCTCTCTTTCTAACCTTGTTTTTCTCACCTTTCTCACTCTTCATCCTTTCTTTTTCCCCCTCTGTGAGTGTAAAGAGCATCAGTCCCTCTCACACTTGCAGTCCTTTTCTCATGTTTTTGTTCTTTGCTTCTCTTTCTCCATCACTTGAATATGACAAAAATAACACCAGTACAAATCTTGCATTTACATAAACAACAGAGAAGCCGCTCAAGAATTTGTCGTGACAGTCTCGATGTTCTTTCAGGTCAGCGGATTGTCTTCCCTTCCACTTTTAAATGTAATGCCTTTCCTTTAACATTTTCCCTTTCAGTTAAGATATTTCTAAGCAGATGTGGTCTCGAGAAAGAAGGAAGGAGAGCTTGTTTGGTTGAATCCACTCTCACTGCTCCAAGATTCTACATAATTCATAACGCAGCCTAGGTGTCAATCTTTTTTGACCGGTCTCAGTTTCCCTTCTCTCTCACATTATTCCATTAATGCATAGCCTTTCTTTTTTCCTGTCCCACTCTTGCATTTGCTTTTGCCCTGTATCAGATCCTAAAAGATTAATTGTCTCCCTGTGTTCCTGCTGCAGCACTAAGCTTAATGGGGTCTGCGTCAATAAGGCGCCAAGCCATGACTTTTCTGACTCTCCTGTTTAAGCCAGCCCATGGAATATTTATGAAATTATTTAGAAAGGGCCAGGCTTGATGAGTAATGGCCTTGCTCGGTGATTCTGGTTGCTGAGATGTAGAGCTGGGTGGTGAACCATGGCAGGTCTGGGCTTGGACAAGTGTTTGCAAGCAGAGTCGCACATCTAACTAAAAAAGGGACCAGAAATAAGCGTCTACAATATAGACACACACAGGTGTGGGTCAGAACAAAAGGCCACATTCCCAACTCCACTATATGTCACAATATATCATGTGGAGTATTTGCATTGATTTTATATTTAGGTGTATATATATATTTTTTCTCTCCTCAATAAAACCTTAATGTACAAAGGTTATACTTTATCTTACATTTTAGTCACTTAGGAAGAAGAATTGCATCAGAAAATGTTAGCCAAGCTCAGTAAATTCTAATCTGAAGCTTGGTATAGCAATACTTTTGTTTAAGGTGACCTTACTGTCCATTTTGGGTCACAAGTTACAAGTCAAGTAGGGCAACCAGGCTATCACTGTACC